AAACAACAATGAAGTACTCAAAAAGTAGCTAAAAAACTGAAAAACACAACTAAGCCTTACAGGGACTCCACAATTGTCCATGATTCTCATCACAAAATTCGTCGATATGGGAATATGAGTTTTTTCGTGTACGATACATGATTTACCGATAACTCACACCTTCGCCACTTATAACCTGGCCTATACAGAAGGCTGATTTTTTGGAACAAATAACTTGAAAGGCGGCATTTTTCTCCATCACCAGCACCATCCCAATCCCCATATTAAAAGTTCGTCTCATCTCCGCATCTTCTATTTTTCCAGCCTAAAATTTTCCTCGAAAAAGATTTAATATATATGTAACTTTACATTTTTTTCATAAGCTTGGTTTGGTAGGACGAGAGCTTTTTAAGCTTCCTTGGGTAGCTTTTCAAATAAGCTCATTGAAATTTTTATTTCCTAGCTAATTTTACCAAACACTTTTGTCTATAAGGTAGTTTTTCAACCATAAGTCATAATTTATCAACTATAGCTTGAAATTCACTTAAAAGCTATAAGCTAACTTATCAACTAGATTTACCAAACATAGCTTGAGTGTAGTCAAACTCATAATGTGGGTAATTTATGTAATTATCAAAAATAGAAGTTCATATAAAAAATTTCTGACCTTTTGGATCCATTTGAATACAGGGGGCACGGTCCACGAGTTCTTGTATATGAGGGCTCCAAGGCCCTTTGGTAACACACGCGGTATATTATCGGTAAAACCACCGCCAGTGATGTGAGCAATCCCTTTCACGCCACCTTCGCTAATGATATCGAGAACCTGTTATGCCGAATGCCATTAGTTTAAAACTAAAACTAAAACTAAAACAAACAAGTGTCAATTTCAAAAAAAACTCTGAGAAATACCTGCTTAACGTATATAGCCGTGGGTGCCATTAGAGCTTCGCCTAGCGTTACATTCGTACCGGGTAGATTTTCTTTCAAAGAGAGGCCACTTCGTTCCAGAACCCTGGATGATGAAAAAAAAAAAAAGAGTAAATAAATAAGCAGAAGACAGTTCCAAATAGGACTGCAAACGAGTCGAGCAGCTCACGAGCGCTAGAGTCAATGCTCAACTTGAGCTCGGTCAAACTCTATCTCGAGCAGTTCAATCGAGCATACGAGTCGAGCCTCGAGCATCATTTCAAAAGGCTCGTAAGCTCGACGAGCCGATCGACTTTTTATTTAAATAAATACCCCATATAGTTTAATTATCAAGGCCAAAATTGTGTATTTATATTAAAAATAGCACCTTTACATTTAAAATTTAGTTGTTACAATTTTGAGCCGAACTCGAGCATTCTTATTTTTTTCACGAGTCGAGTAGCATTTTACATGGCTCGTCGAGCTCAAAAAGTCTGATCTGCGCTCGATAAGGTCCATGCTCGACTTGACTCGACTCACTTACATCCCTAGTTTCAAACAAATGTCACGTTTTATGAAACTTCAAATACTAAGATGTTAGAAGCGATTTTTAACCTCCGGACAAGAGAAAACCCGTTTGAGTGGACCCCACTGGATGGGAGACCGATAAGGATATCCCCAGCCTCTATATTTTTCCCGTCGATGACTGAATCCTTTTTCACGATGCCGACAGCAAAACCGCTCAGATCATACTCGCCTTCCGCGTAAAAGTCGGGCATCTCTGCAGTCTGAAAGATACACCAACACAAATAAAAAGACATCTAAATGGGTCCCACCTGTGAAAATCCACTCAAAAAAATAAAATGTCCTTAGCGACATGCATTGTGTACACAGTTAATGCTGTAATAACTGAATGGAATGAGATGAAGTTTGTGAGCACTTCTGATTCATCAAAAGAACGAGTGACCGCAAAAAAACACACACTCTAAGGTGCGAAATTCTTGAAACTTCGAAGAAAGGCCTTGCTACTTACAGGATGATGTATTGTCCATAGTTCATACATTGTGATAATTTTTTATTTTTTTTCTGCACTTGCATTTTCAAATACAGTTATGTTTACATGAGTACCTCTCCTCCTAGAAGTGCACAATCAGATTGTTGGCAACCATCAACTATGCCCTTGATAACCTGCATTCGTATTTAACGAGATGAATGAACTTCCTCTATCTTTAGAAAAATAAATTAAAACATTGGCTTTCTGATAAAATTAGTTAGAAAATGATGGATAAATACAAATCTATACCTTTTCAGCAAGATCTACGTCTAGAAGGCTTGTGGCAAAGTAATCAAGGAAAAACAGAGGCTTTGCCCCAGAAGTCACAATGTCATTAACGCTCATTGCAACCTGATAAGACACACTGGGATTAATAAACTTATTGGGATAATAAAATATTTCAGTTCGTACCTGTATTACTAATAAAAAACATGCAGAGATTAGTAGGATTCCCTTTTACCAAATCAATGCCGATAGTATCGTGGATTCCAGTTTCAAAAGCAAGCTTAAGTTTGGTCCCAACTCCATCAGTACCAGCGACTAGGTAGGAATCTCCTGTGAAGCACCAAAAATATAATTACATTAACAAATAAGATGGGGAAGACCACCAAATGAAGCAAAAAAAAGAAAAAAAAAAAGAAATAAAGGAAAAATGAATTCTTGAAAAGGGACAAGAGAAAACAGAAACATTAAGAGTGTTGGCAATGTCATGTGGAATAAGACCGTATTGAGCGTGCCAATGTTTTAAAAACGGAGTCTTGAAAGTTAAAAGAACACATCTAACAGATGAACAAGACACCAATTAGCAAGCTTGTATTCAACAATGAGAAACATGCGCACAAAAGTTTCGAAAAATTGGACAGCAAAACGTGATAAGTTTTCTTACATCATAAGTTATAACTTTGAAAAAACTCTGTTTAGTTAAGATCTTTAGAACAATTAATTTGAGCTTGTGGCAGGTAATCCAACAAATATGACAAATCAAAATCCAACCAATGCAGATCATGAATCAGATAAGACAACACAAACTCAAGGGTACAAGTGCTCTCTCTTCCCCAACCACATATCGGCATCAAAAGGGCTCATAATCTTTCGATAAATTAAGGCTATGTTTGGTAACCAAATAAGCTAGCTTATAGCTTATTTGGTTAGCTTATAAGCTTCCTGTATTCAAATAAATTTCGTTTGATAGGACGAGCTTTATTAAAAAGTCCGAGCTTATCTCATAAGCTATACCCATTTCAAGTAAACCCTTTAAAATTTTATTTCAACTAATTTTACTAAACACTTTTGTCATATAAGCTAGCTTTTCAGCAATAAGTCATAAGCTATAAACTATAAGCTCGAAAATCACTTATAAGTTATAAGCTACTTTGATAGCTCTAGTTTTACCAAACATAGCCTAAAAAACACAATAAAGGTTGCATCTTTCCGTGAACTTATACAATACCACATGACATAAGACAATATCAAGAAGTGATAGTGAAGATAAGCCTAACACTTAAAGGCCAGTTCATCGAGTCCAACGACTTATACAAGAGAAGCATATTTATCAGTTAAAAATCATAAGTAAAATCAGTAACCATACCCAAAGGAAAGAGCCCTCCAAAACCTCCAATTCCAGGAGCCATTTTGGCAATCCTCTTAACAAGTTCTGAACCAGTATCAATGTCAACACCCGCATCTTTATATGTAAGTGCTTCATCCTTGTCCTCCCCAGCAGTCTTCACATGGCCTTTAGTATTTCCTGAAGCCGAAAGTACAATACTTTTTTGCACTCCTCTGATGAAATTATTGGACAAGAAAGGCAACAACCCTTTGGATAAACCAACTTTTCGAATCTTGAGCGAATTCGGGTCGAACGAGTTCGTGATACAGTGGGGCAATTCTGTATTTGCTCTGCAGGCCGTATTCATTTTTGTCCTCGGATGGTTATATACAAAAGCCCTGCACACAAAAAACAAATAGGTTGATGATGAGAAGCTCATTCGCGTGCAGAAAAAATAAATATGCTATGGAAGCACAAATATGGGGTGGAAACGAGCCGAGCCAAGTCGAGCTCGCTCTTTAACTAAACCAGCAAGTAATCGAGCTATAACTCGGCTTGTTTGTCAATATTAACAAGTCGAACTCGTGCCATATGAGCCAACTTATAGAAAACTATATAAAAATCTTATCGTTTAGTCTTAATGAGCCGAGCAGAGCTCACAAGTAGCTCATTTAGTTTCACATCTCTATGCACAATAATGAACTGTCATGTACCCAGCAACTGGTGAAGGAAAGACGACACCTTTGGCCGGAAAAGCTTCAAGCATGACGGAAAGGGGCAAACTTTGGCTGGGAATGGACGAATCTTTGGAGGTTGAAGGAGTTTCGCCGGCCACTGAAGGAGAGTTAGGGTTAAACGATGAGGCAATTGGGATTGACGATGAAATGAAGATGGCAAGAGATCAAGAGTCAAATGGGCATATGATGTGGGCCGATATTAAGTGATTGTAGTTGGGCTAGTCATTTTGTTAGTCCAATTGTTATGGACCAATATCTTTATCCATGTTATTATTGTTAAGATTAATAGCTAGTAAGTTTTGTTAGGCCAGGCCCACTTCTCAAGTTTGTTAGGAGAAAATGTCAGTGGGACCCGTGAGAGGGTAATATATGTGTTTGTTAGACATTGTTGAAGGGCAGCAAATGAAACACTTATTCTGTCACTCTCATTTCTTTCTCTCTCCTTCTCCCTACACTTTCCCTTTCTTCCTCCCCAATCCTTCTCGTACTTACAGTAAATTAATCATAATTCCTTTACAAAATTCATGAAAAATCTAAATAATTACAGTGCATAACATGAACACGGCCGAGAAATACAATAATGTAAGTAAAACAGTTACGGGAGTAAGTTAATTTCAACTAGGAGCCCTTCAAGAGATGAGAAAAGAAAAGCGATATACTGTTCAGTTCATATAAAATGAATATTAGTTTAAAAAAAATCAACAAATTTGTATGATTAGAGCAGATGATTTTCAAGAAATACCTGAGAATTATCGAGTTAATACCGAGGGCGGTGAGCTGAGGACGGCGGCGGCGGAGTGACACGGCGGGGAAAGCGTACTGTGAGTCTGCGACTCCACTTTCCTTTCCCTCTTTATATTTTTTTATTTATATATTTATTTTTCTGTTTTTAAATTGTTTGAGAGTTTTTTTTCTTTTTATTTATATCTGTAATGGATTACAGGCTTACCGCTCAACTTTGGGCCCTTAAGTCTCAATAGGCCGGCCCAAAACAACTGGAATTGAATAGGGCTACGAACATGGGAAAGTAAAAATAAAATTTGTACTAGTACTATTAATATTACTACTAAATGTAGAATGTGTAAATTTGTAAATAGAAAATCTAAGTAAGATTACTAAAAAAATAGTTGTTCCTGGCTTCCTGTAATCACATAATACTAGTCAACTGTTGAAAAAATAAATATGTATATAATAGAAAATAAAAAAGAAAAAACGAAATAGGATATTGTTGGTCCACGCATAGAATGTTCATAAATGGAAATACATGCCAGGATGCAGAGGGTTTGTGTATGCCTTTGTTGAAACTGGAAGTTACAGAATTTAAACTTTGTTTATTTTGGCGCATTATGAATTAAGCATACAATTGGTGGTAGTGACAAAAGGAGCATTGGCAGACATGATTGTTGTTTCTTTAAATTAGGCACAACGAGAGAGAGTGCTACCTGAAAAGGACCATAAAGCTGAAGGACCTAGAAAAAAAGTACGAGCTGAGGGTAACAAGGCCTATAGCAAGATGAGAACGAGACATTAGAACAATGACAAACATGGAGATCGACAAGCGGAGAGAGCTTCTTGAAAAGGTGACCAGCAAATAGGTCCATTAGCAGAGAAAGAGCTATATAAAACAGTGACTATTTGTGGAGTATACGAATCAAAAGAGTCGCGGAGAAGGTTATCACAAAAATATGTTAACTCAAAGAGCTTCTTGGAACAATGACCAACAGATAGATCGATGAGCTGACAGAACTGCTCACCAAGATGACTAACAAGGAGGTCGACGAGCTACGATAAAGGCTGACCATAGGGCTGTTGACGAATCGAACGTTAGCGAACAAAATCTCGTTCATTTGTTAATCGAGTTGAGTTTGAATAGAAAATTAAGGTCATTAAATAATCGAACGAACACGAGCTGGTTTGCGAACATTGATTTAATATAATTTATTTTATTTTTTTATATACATACATGATATTTTTAGTTAAAAAATTTAAAATATAAAAATATTTTTATTGTATTTTTTATTTTTAGAGTTCGAACGAACAAATGTTGAGTTAATCGCACATATTTAAAAAGTTTATGACATAAATTATTCGAACTCGAACTTTGACGAACAATTAAACGAACGAGCTCGAACACGATTATTCGTTTGAAAAATAAACGAACAAACACGAACAGTGTTCGAACGTAAGCAAACACGAGCTCGAAACGCCTAAGCTTGCCTCGTTCGGTTCGATTATAACACTAGCTAACCACTAAAAAGTTGGATGAGCAAAGAGCTTTAGGTGGATTAGTGGAAAAACACGAGCTGAAAGAGCTACGGAGAATGGTGTCAAACAGATGTGGATAGGACTTTTAATAATACATAATCGTCCATGTACGGGAGAAGTAAATAGAGCTTCAACTAAACACATGCTAAAATGAGATATGGTCCAAGGCCGGATGGAGACAACGTGACAACAATAAATTGTTATAGCTGTTGTTATGTAAATATTGTTGTTTTGGTGCCCACAAAAAATCGGTAAGTTCAAAGCATCACTCTACTAACTGGTTACTATATCCGCTTGTATTTCACCAAGGAAGTTCAATGTCAGGAGCTATCTATTATGATGCAATAACGAATTATCGGAACTCTCAAGCATTACATACATCCATTAATTTCAACACAAAGTCTTGAATGAGACAACCTATATATTTGGTTGGTCGACCCGTAATACTCCATTAACAAAAACTAGTACGTACCCCGTGCGATGCACGAGACATAAATATTAAATGAGTTATTTTCACAGGCTTTGTCCGTTTAAGTATATAAAGCAATAGGGTTATTATTTATTTTTCACCTCTTTTAATCAACATTAAGTGTATTAAATAATAAAATTACAATCTATCTTGCACCTCTTTTAAACAGTGTTGTTTTTTTAGTAAAAACATTAAATATGAGCATATTAGGCAAGCTTGTAAAATAAATAATATATTATCTCTCCTTGAAAAAATAAATATGTATATAATAGAAAATAAAAAAGAAAAAACGAAATAGGATATTGTTGGTCCACGCATAGAATGTTCATAAATGGAAATACATGCCAGGATGCAGAGGGTTTGTGTATGCCTTTGTTGAAACTGGAAGTTACAGAATTTAAACTTTGTTTATTTTGGCGCATTATGAATTAAGCATACAATTGGTGGTAGTGACAAAAGGAGCATTGGCAGACATGATTGTTGTTTCTAACTAGCACGTAACCCGTGCGATGCACGAGATGTAAAATTTGGAAGAATAATATAACCACACGTGTATTAGGATCGAAATTGAAATCATTGAATACATAAGAACATTGTTGAATCATAAAAAAGTTCGGTAACAATCATATATTATTAAAAACCTCCTTGTACACAACATTATGAGTTTGATTATTTGGTAACTCCTCATTATCACAAACTAATATTTTTCAAAAGAGACAAATCCTAAAAATCAAACTAATATTTGTGGTAAACAAACTAATATTTTAGGATTGGTGAACAAACTAATATTTTAGGATTTCTAGGATTTGTCTCTTTTTTGTGAACAAACTAATATTTTAGGATTGATTATATGAATAAGGCTACCTGTTTTTTGTGTTCTTTTCATTCATTTTCATTCAGACAATCCGATGACTTGTATAATGAAATCCGAATCTTAAGTCGAAATATTTAAAAAAAGTGTTTTTAAAAATTGAAAAGTCAAGGCAATCAGTTCAGATTAATTAAAGGTCAAAGAATATCCGCTCCTTGAAATAAAGACGTGTGCTAGCATTAACCAAATATCCGGTTATTGATATAAAGTGGTCCAAAAAATAGAACGCGATAAGGACGCTTCATTGATACAATGTCTACTTAGAACAATGACAAACATGGAGATCGACAAGCGAGAGAGCTTCTTGAAAAGGTGACCAGCAAATAGGTCCATTAGCAGAGAAAGAGTATATAAAACAGTGACTATTTGTGGAGTATACGAATCAAAAGAGCCGCGGAGAAGGTTATCACAAAAATATGTTAACTCAGAGAACTTCTTGGAACAATGACCAACAGATAGATCGATGAGCTGACAGAACTGCTCACCAAGATGACTAACAGGGAGGTCGACGAGCTACGATAAAGGCTGACCATAGGGCTGTTGACGAATCGAACGTTAGCTAACAAAATCTCGTTCATTTGTTAATCGAGCTGAGTTTGAATAGAAAATTAAGGTCATTAAATAATCGAACGAACACGAGCTGGTTTGCGAACATTAATTTGATATAATTTATTTTATTTTTTTATATACATACATGATATTTTTAGTTGCAAAATTTAAAATATATAAATATTTTTATTGTATTTTTTTACTTTTAGAGTTCGAACGAACAAATGTTGAGTTAATCGCACATATTTAAAAAGTTTATGTCATAAATTATTCGAACTCGAACTTTGACGAACAATTAAACGAACGAGCTCGAACACGATTATTCATTTGAAAAATAAACGAACAAACACGAACAGTGTTCGAACGTAAGCAAACACGAGCTCGAAACGCCTAAGCTTGCCACGTTCGGTTCGATTATAACACTAGCTAACCACCAAAAAGTTGGATGAGCAAAGAGCTTTAGGTGGATTAGTGGAAAAACACGAGCTGAAAGAGCTACGGAGAATGGTGTCAAACAGATGTGGACAGGACTTTTAATAATACATAATCGTCCATATACGGGAGAAGTAAATAGAGCTTCAACTAAACACATGCTAAAATGAGATATGGTCCAAGGCCGGATGGAGACAACGTGACAACAATAAATTGTTATAGCTGTTGTTATGTAAATATTGTTGTTTTGGTGCCCACAAAAAATCGGTAAGTTCAAACCATCACTCTACTAACTGGTTACTATATCCGATTGTATTTCACCAAGGAAGTTCAATGTCAGGAGCTATCTATTATGATGCAATAACGAATTATCAGAACTCTCAAGCATTACATACATCCATTAATTTCAACACAAAGTCTTGAATGAGACAACCTATATATTTGGTTGGTCGACCCATAATACTCCATTAACAAAAATGTGTACTTATACTATTAAATGTCACACTTTGTTATACTTACGTTTATGATTTTTTTAAAGTATGACATTTTGTAATGAAAGTCTGTATATTTGTAAAAATAGTATGTCGGCCTAATAATTAGGTCGACCTAACACAACCTATCATAAGTTCAATTATTGGGAGATTGTAAGAAAAAATGGTTTTGTACCTATATTTTCAGTTCTATTTTTGTAAATGGAAGACTTATAAAATTCTCACTCATAAGGTGAATGAAAAATTAATCTTAAGTTATATATATATGAGAAAATACAAGTTTAAAGCTGAAAATTGATTTTAAATAACTCAAAGATTGTTGAATTTTCGAGCTTTCTGAGCGATAATCATGCTCTAGGCATGCAAGAACTTGAAAAAAGTATGTTGAGGATGAGTATAACTCCATCGACACTTTTTAGAGCTCCAATGCGCGCTTGGCTGCATAACGGCCTTGGCGGTTTGCGATGCAGCCACCACCATTTTCACCAAATGCTTGTATATTTGAAAATGCTGCTCTGTACAAGTCAAAAGTCGTATCTTGAAGACATTTATTGTTAACCGTGAGTATTTTATGAAATAATTTTATCTTAAGAAGAATGTAACCACTTTAATTTATGTTTGTGTTTCCTTCATTTTCCATAAGCCCATTTTAGTAATTTTTACATACCATCCAATAACAACATTTTTCTCTGCTTGGCTGGGCAGAGTAAATCGGGAAATTTCCATTGTAAGGCTTTATTTTTTTGTTATTGTGTCATAATAAGGCATGAATTTTAAACTTTTTCATTTGAAGGTTTCAATTTTAAGTTATTCTCAATATAAGGCCTACTCTACTCTTCAATTTAAGACTCCAAATCACTTTGTATTTTGATATAATTATGTACACTCAATACTCTTTTTTTTAAATTTATTATTTAAGTACTTATAATGAAAAGTATTAAATATCTTTATAATTTTTTTTTCTTTTTTTTCCTTTTTTTTTCACATCTTCAGTAAAATTACCTAATAAGATTTCATAATTTACATCTGTGCAAAAGGTTAATGAAATTTATTTTAAAAGTTAAAAAATAAATTTTAACTTAATTTTAATCAAAATATGTGTAACATTTGGATTTTCATAAAATGAATTACCACAATCTCCCAAACTGTAATGATCCCTATTGAAATTTGAATACGCCCCATCGTCTCGTTGATACCAATTTCTCTCGGTAGCTCTACGTGCATTATACCTCTTGAACAAAAATGGACAATCATCGGTGACGTGTCTTGTGGTACGACATAGACGACATGGTCTCCTTAGAACTTGACGAACACTCTCAATTGCTCCTTGGATCATTGCCGACATCCTAGCCTCACAATGTGGATCTATTCTTTCTCCTCTCATTCCATAATAAGAGTCGTAATCACAATTCGGGCCCCAAGATGCATCCATATTGAACAAATACCACCTGTAAAAGAAATAAAATAAAATAAAAGGGGGATTAAAAGAGTCAAAGAAAAAACACAAAAAAAAAAAAAATCACAACTCAATTGCACCACTCCCCGGCAACGGCGCCAAAATTTGACCGCGCGTCGCGTCGCGGCAAATTTAAATTTATAATATTTTTCTCGACTAACCTCTACTAACTAGTAGTAGTGGCGAGTAAGGGTCGATCCCACGAGAAGCAGGAATCAAATTGTTACAATTCTCGTATTAATTGAACTTAAACTAAGAAAACAGTAAATGGGAGAATTGATTTAATAAAAAATAAAAATTAAAATAATATAATAAAATGAGAGAAGTCTAGTTTTCGGTTCAGTTATCACCCAATCCCAATCTACCGTTAATTAATTTCGACGCTTTCTTTAAATTGCTAATGAATTACAAACCCTAGCTAACAACAAGCTCTGTTAACCGAATTTTCGCTTACCGAATATTTAATCGAAATAAGCTCTTCGACCAAACCTAACTAGCGGACAACCTAGAATAAACTCTCTAGATTTAATACACTAGCAGCATTAATTCATAGGAAAATAGATTAGTCTAAGCAATGGAAGCAAAAGCTCGGACCATTTAACTTATGCTCATGCTACTCTAGAGATGCACGACCTCTAGTTTACTACTAACGAAACGAGACATTAAAGCCTCGAATCTAGCAATTAAATCATGGATATTCAATCTAGCTGGTCAAACCAAATCAAACACCATAATTCATAAACACAATACACACAGATAACATGAATCAACTCATCAACAAAAATAATACGGCGTCTTAATTAACTAACGATAAAAACAAATCCTTCAATTCATAGACAAATTAAAGTTAGGGTTCAAACATTCCCTAAAACTGGATAAAAATCCTAGCCTAACATACTAATAAAAATAAATAATAGAAGATAAAAGAGAGAATTTAATCTCCTCCTCGTGTGTACATGCGGAATATAATAGAAGATAAAAGAGAGAATTTAATCTTCCTCGTGTGCAGATGTAGAGATCTCCTCTCAGTCTGCGTCTATCTGTTCCGCTCGTCTCTTTTTCTTCTCTCTCGCAAATAAATCCCTCTCCGTATGTGACTCCTCTCAAATATGTAATGTGGCGTGAGTCCTCTTTATTTCACTGTGGCTCCCCGAAAATAAATCCTATTTCTCCAAATAAATCCACCTCTCTCCGTGTGGCGTGCGTGAGTCAAAATAAATCCTCCCTCAAAAGTTGCTCTCCAAATCCATTTTCCTCCAAGCCCAGCACGTCACTTTCATCATCCTTGGGCCAATTGCACTACTATACATAGATTGGCCCAACAACCATTAATAATGAATGTAGACTTAATAATTAAAGTTCTCTTGGGCTTCTTTAATCAACTCCATCATTAACCCAAATTTTCATGTATTAAGTAACCCAAATATTGATCGCATGAACTCTCATGCAATGCTTCGCCATTCACAAAATTACTTCAATATACTGAAAATAAATATAAAAATATCAATGTATATGAATCCATCCAAATAATAAATAAGTCAAAAATATAAATGTGCGAATAAATTAAGTGTATAAAAATACACTATTAAACATATAAAACATGCACATTTCTCGACCTATCATTAAATAATCTATTTGCCTAAATTGAATGTCATAAAATAAAATATTTGCTCCTAAGTTGCAAATTTCGTTAAATATTTTTTGGACGAACACACGAATAGGATGTTACTAAAAATACAAATTTATCATGGTATATTCACGCGTTTTTACCAATAAATCTTATCAAACTTATTCATCAAAAATCTAATCTCATTTTGAAAATCGAGTGTTCTATTTAACATATAAGTATATTTATTTTGAAAGTATAGTGAGAATCGAATTTTGGCAAAATTGTGTGGGAAATGAGATCGTTCAACAAACCATTGGAAAAGATGCACCGATAATTTTACCAAATTAAAATTTATTCACCAAATGATTAGAAAAGTGGTTAAGAAAAAGAAAAAGAAAAAGTATAAGGTAATATCTATTTTTAAAACATGCATGTCGGTTTTGCTATGGAGCCAACTGTTAGCTCCATAGCAAAACCGACATGCATTGGTTGATTTGCTCCTTTTTTTCCTAATCTCATGTGTTTTTAAAAACATTTCTTATAATAGTAAGTCAAACATTTAATTAAAAAGTCAAAGTTACTATTTATGTATTTTTCCAACAATTTTTTTATATTAGTATAAATAACTTAAAATTGAAATATTCAAATAAAAAAGTTAAAAATTCAGGCATTTTTTTTTTGTGACACAATAACAAAAAAATCAAGCCCTATAATAAAATTTCTCGAGTAAATCAGTCTTCCGTATTAAAGCCTCTGCATGGCCTAACACCTAACTCAAGGACCATCCTAGTTTCGAAAGCCCATTAACTTACGCGAGACCTAATTCAATTACATTTCTTAATTAATTGGGTGGTTCTCTCTGCGTCGTCTGCTATCTCGACGTAAGGTGAGAGTCGAGATCACCTTAGGTTTTCGGAAGTGAAACATCAACCCAAGACTTAAACCAAGGGCATTCACAGTTGAAGAAAAAATGGGTATATGGAACGATGCGTTGAGGGCTCTTGAGCCGACGAACGTTACTCACTCTTGTGTCGGCAATTTCACTGCCCCGAACGACCTCAATCTCATCGTTTCGTAAGTTTTCCATATCTGTACTATTGTGGATTTAATTTGTGCCTATAAATGACTATGGAGCTCTTGTTCACTAGAATTTGTGTTGTGATGTATGAGTGCCTATTTGATTCAATATGCTCAGTTTGAAATATGGCTGATATCCAGTGATTTTTATGAACTTACAGGAGATGCACCAGAATAGAGATTCATTTGGTGTCGTTTCAAGGTTTACAGGTGAAGTACTCACTGTTAGATTAGACATTTCATTATGAAGTCAGCTTACTTGGCTGTTGTAATTTACCAAATCGATTTTGAGAACTTGATGCCTTTTGCACACCATTAGCTTCCTTCAACTTCTACTTGGGGTTCACATTTCATTACGTTTTTTGCTCTGAAGTGTTGGAAATTAATTGCTGCAGCTATAAATAATTAGTGTTTTATGTTTAGTTTGGGATGAGAGTCCTGCAAGTCTTGAAGGGTGAAATGAGGCAGTCTAGCCTATCATGATCTGGAATTCTGTTGTGATGACTTATGTGGAAACATATTTCTAATTAATGGTATAATTTGCAGCTTATGTTGGATATGCCAATATATGGTAGAATTGCCATACTTGAGCTTTTTCGTCCACATGTGAGTTTTCAAATTTATTTCTGAAACCTTTTTTTTTCCTCATTTCCACATAAAGAATGATTACTTTTGTCTTCATATGCCTTGTCCAATGGAGAAAAAACAAATGTGCCTTGATCATTGAATGACTTAACAGGGGGAAACTCAAGATCACCTTTTCATGGTCAAGGAAGCATACAATTTCAGTGTTATGCAATGGGATGCCGAGAATGCGCAGTTTATTATAAGGTGATACTTGTTTATTGAATTTTTGGATGATTACGTCTTAGAAAGTCAAGTTGTTTTGTGGAATTGTTGTCGCTCATGTTTTCATACATCTATAAACTCGTCCATGGTATCTTATGGTTGCGTTGAATTTCCAAGTGGTTTCCAACATTAACAATTTTAGGACTATCCTTTATATTATGATATATTGATTTGTCCTTATCATCGGTGTTGGTTTCACTATTTAGTTCTACTTTAATAAAAATTTCTTTATCCTGTTTTGTTGGGGTGGTTTCCACCATTGAAATAGGGCAATGGGGGATGTTTCATATCAAACTGGTATCCCCACAGAAAGGGAAAGGTAAGTTAGTGTGTGCTTGGAACTTTCAAGTGTTCATGTTGGAAATGTATCTAGTCTTTGACATACTTCATACTCTCCACATAGATCGGCATAGTTGACCCAGATTGTAGATTGATTGGACTTCATCTATATGATGGAATATTCAAGGTATTTTCCCCATGGGGATACTTCTCTCTCTAGCCGCAACAATCGTCTCCTTCGCCCTGCCCCCNAAAAAAAATGCTTATGAGTTAATATTTCATGTTCTCAGGTCATTCCATTTGATAACAAAGGCAAAGGCATGTTCATGGAAGAATTTGATATTAGGTACTTTTCCCACTCGACAATCCCTATTAATCCACCATGCTGGAAGTAAAGTGCATTCTTTTTCTGATAAATAATTGATTCTGTAATGCATACATCGTTTATTGGCTGTTGTATCTCTTGGTATCCGTATACCTCTGCATCTTTTATGTATTTGAACTTCAAGTCCTGATCTACTTTTCTTATATTGAGTAAACAAAGTCTGATGCCTTTCCTTTGTTTTCTCCTGATATAAAATTCTTTTTTATCCTAATCAGTTTGCAATGTCTAGATATATAGAATTGTAGTGCTTAGTTATATTTATATTTCAGAGTTTTACTGCACAGATGAGAGCACCTTATAATATTATCTGTTTTATCGTGGAGTGGGTTCCTGATATCCTCTGTAACTCATAGTAGCTAATTTGTTGCTGCACTAACCTACATTAGTTAATTTGTCGTGTCTTCAGGCTTCCGGAGCTTCAGGTTTTGGATATTAAGTTTTTGTATGGTTGCCCCAGGCCAACTATTGTTGTACTTTACCAGGTTTTGATTTACTATTGCAATTATCCCTAGAATTTCAAGTGTGTGTGTTGTCACTTTGAGGTCTTTTTGTTGAAATAGGACCCATTGGTGTAATCTATGTGAGTTGATTGAATCCTGTATCCTATTTTTATTAGTGTGATCACTGATCATGACTAGGCTAGGCTTGTTTGTGTAACATGATCTTTATGTGTTTGTATTGGTAGGCTTTATTTTATCGTTCATGATATATCTCTTGGCAAGCATTTTATGGGTGACGGCTCCAAGGAATGTGCTCAGCTACATTTCGCTAGTATGCTTTATATCAACTACTATATGCTTTCCATGTATGATGCCTTTGACAAAACTAGTTGAGTTTCTTGGAGTTTATATATTGTTTATAGGAACAGACTTGCTTATTTTAGTGGTTGTTCTTGGTATTGTTGTTCCTTCTCTTGTTACCACCTTCTTCCGCATCATTCTTTGTGTTGACTGACAGGATACTGAAGATGAACGTCATATGAAAACTTACGAAGTTGCTTTGATGGATGAATGTTTTGCTGAGGGTCCGTGGTCTCAGAATAATCTTGATAATGGGGCAGAATTGTTAATTCCAGTTCCGCCTCCTCTTTGCGGTGTCCTAATTATTGGTGAAGAGAGTATGTTTATTGCAGTGCCTCTGCTTTTAAAGCAATCCCAATCAGGCCTGTAAGTTACTTAGATCCCCTGTTAGTTCTGTACGAGCTCATTCTAATCATGACACCGATCTTATTTTGTGTTTTATCCGTGAAGTTTGTCACAAAAGCTTATGGGAGGGTTGATGTTGATGGCTCGCGCTACTTGCTAGGGGATCATAATGGGCTTTTGCATCTACTTGTTATAACTCATGATAGGGAGAAGTAGGTTTCCTGTTTTCTGATTTTGTCATTTCACAAGTTTAAGGCTTATATATATGCAGCTTGTTTGAAATGTCTAAATGGTTTTCCTTTTTTTGATCTGCTAGAGTAACTGGACTCGAGATTGAGCTCTTGGGGAAAACGTGTATCGCATCGTCCATATCATATCTTGATAATGATGTTGTCTTCGTAGGCTCAAGCTATGGAGACTCACAGGTGTGAAGAATAAAATTCTTTTTTCAGTATGCGCTTCACGTAATGTTGTTTTTGAAGTATAGTTACTGTCGCTATTAATTTGTTTCTAGTTGTGATGATGTTGATTCGTACTTCTATATTCCTAGATGATAAAGCTGAATCTTTCACCGGATGCAAAAGGTTCTCATGTGGAAGTTCTTAAAGGTGCCGATTTTCTTTTTTTCCCTTATTTTTGGAGACAAACATTATTTTGACAGCTTTGTGGATGCTATTTGAACTAAATACCCAAAAGTGTGCATGGTAGGGGAACCAAGGTTTTCAAAGTCTGGTCTCTGTCTATGGCTTTCCTATGGATCATTTCCAATCAACTGGGAAACTTGGCCAAATTCACCACCAATTCCTTGTCGGCATATTTTTCGTCAGAGAATTTTTCTCCTGGTCCTGCCGCCTCTGCTGCCCCGTGTGATATTATTTCATCATCGAGTAACCTTTCTCTTTCCGGTCCCGCCTTTGCTGCCTCTGATGATATTGTTTCGTCGTCAAGTTACTCATCACATCCTTGTCCCGGCAATACTCGTCCTTCGTGCGTGTCGAAACTTGACCTCAGTTTGTGGCTCAACGAGACCAACGAGCTCATGCTCATGGTGCAGCACCTGCGCAACGGATCCCGCTATTACTCCATAATCTATACCAAATACAGTGTGTTCAAGCGAATACTAAAAGATAGTCTTTTCAACGTGTCGTCTCTACTCAGAGCTCAAAATTGTGCTCCCGAGCTGTATGAGAAACCCTATTATCATGTTCTTACTGGTTGCAAAGCATGGGTGTTGTTGTCGTCATACGGAAAAAGACATGAAATGGATGACGCAGTGTTTCTGTGGAACCCTATCAACGACGAGATGAAAACCCTTCCGCCTTTTTGCTCTCAGCCACCCTTCCCTTCCCCTATCTGTTCTCGCATTCAGCTTTACGGCATGGGCGTGGACCCTTCATCTGGGTGCATTAAGCTGGTGAGGACTCGTGCATTTGAGTATGGGAATACTACTGTAAGGAAAGTCCAGGCAGAGCTCTTGTCGCTCGAAAATGGCGTGTGGAAGGAAATCCCGTATCCTCACGATTCCCTAATGCCGACCTACCAACAACCTTTTCGTCATATAAATGGAATTTGTTATTGGGTGGTTGAGGATGCGGCGGCTTCGGGTAGACTTGCTCTTCTTTCGTATAACTTTGCGAATGAGAAGTTCTCCCCTGATCTCATTCCCATGCCTGAGAGCAATAAGATCAACAACGTGTGCAATGTTGTTCTTGGTGACTTTTGTGGGTCGCTGGCTGTTTTTGCTTTCGATCGTAAGATAATTAGTAACAAGCCTTTTTGTGTCGAGATTTGGGTGTGGAAAGATGGGAGGTGGTCGAACGAGGGCAGACATGCTCTCCCTGCCGATGTTGATACTGTAGTGGGCTTCGTGGGGGTGCGTAAACTGCTTCTTATGGACTCCAAGGGCGGCCTACGGCTTTATGATCTTAGGACGGGCATGTTGTTTATCCTCGAGATTCGTGATGTTAATGAGGCTGTGAGGCTGTTCCTCTTTTCTGAGAGCTCATCAATATGACTGAAATATATCTGTTCTCTCTTTTCTGAGAGCTATAT